GATGGTGATGGAAGCTAGCGCCTAAGTTCTTGTATGAATTATGAGAAATACTCCCTGTCAGACCTGTAGCACTGTGCCGCCATTGAGTGCTCCACAAAGGGCAGCATTTGCTGTCTCCTAAGAAGTATGTAAGCCTTACCTACAGCTCAGGCAGATCTTCACCGCTGCCACACACCCTTCCTCTCTGAGCCTTTCATTTCTATTTGCCCTTGATGGTACTGATGACCACTTCTTCCCCTTCTCCTAACTCCACTTTTCCCGCCCCGATGAGCTCGGGTGATGAACATCAGCCCCTCATTTCAGGAACGATCAGGCACTTTCTAAATGCAATGGCTCAAGAGGAGAGCGGCTGAAATTAGAAACAAGGTCCCTCTGGTAAGAACAGAATCTGAAGGGTCAGTTGGAGTTAGGGTTACAGTTGCTGTTGTATTTCGGGGGCCCAGAAAACTGCTATCAACCAAGTGGAAAATATCCACATCCAGAGGTAAGTGTGTAACACAGGTGATAGATTTGGACAAAGGCAAAAGCGTGGGGGCAGGTGGGGCGAGAGACAAGGCCATAAGGAGATATCATTTCCTGTGCATCCAATTCAGGGCAAAAAAAATCAGAGATGACAGAGGAAAGAACGCAAAAGCAGAGCCTGGTCCCAACTGTAGATGTGACAGATGAAGCTAACAGGCAGTTAGGATGGCCAGAAAGTGCCACCATATCTCTGGTCATGGCACAGGACTGAGCTTGTGGCAGCTTCGACGCAAATGTGTCAGAGTCAATAAGTTCTTCTGGATGTTTAATCACTAGGAAGTCAATTTTTTAAAGCTTCACCTTTAATTGGGGAAAAACATAACAATTCTTAGGCGTATCACATGGCTGTGATTTTTCTGAATGTATTTCCTGCTAACACAAGATTAGAGGGAAAGACATTTTTGTAAGAGTCAAAAATGAGCAGGATTCCAGTTTTCCTCTGCTCACAAGGGAATATACACTTTCCAAATCCAGGGAATAAAGGAGAGGCCCTGCCAGGGTTCTTTGCCAGTTCTGAGTCTGTTTTGGCTCCCAAGTAAACTTTGCTCTCCTTAAGCTGGCAGCCTTCAGTTCCAATCTTTTTCTGAGAAATATACAGCATAGTTGGGGCTCTGTTGGGAACCGTTTCAGCCTCAAGGAATGAATCATTAGCTAGAGTCAGCTTGAGATTCATAGACCCTAGAGGGAAGGGCTTCCTTCCTTGTCTCTAGATATCCTTTATAGGCAGGGGAGGTGGTCAGCAAAAGTACAATTGAATGATTCACCTCACTGCATGAAAGTTGAATTTCACAGCAGTCTATCAAAGACGTTAGAGCAAAAGGTTAGATATAGATTAGAACATGCTTAAAAGGCATGTCAGTGCCAGGCATAGTAGCACACAACTATAATCCTAATAGTGAAGAGGCAGAAGCAGGAGGATCACAAGTTCAAGGCCAGCTTGGGCTGCAAAGTGAGCTCCTATGTCAAGAAATAAGAAAGGAGCATATCAATTAATGAAACATAAAGACCTTGTTTGGATTTCTAGTCAAATGTTAAATAATGAGATGACTGGAAATTCTGAACACTAGTTATAACATTAGATAACTTTATGTGCCCTGTAACGTTTTGAAAAATTGTAAATGTCATCATTTTAAAATAAGAGATTCTGAGCCTGAAGAGCACTGTTTGATTTTCCAGAGAACCCGAGTTCAATTCCCAGCATCCAAGTGTCTGTAATTCCAGTCCCAAGGACCCAATGTCTTCTTTCTGGCCTTTGCGAGCACTACACATAGACGGTACACAGACATACATGCAGGGTAAAATCTTCATGCACATAAAAATAAACAGATACTTAAAAATAGATAAGATTTGTTTACATTAAAATCAAGAGACCAGGTAGGACAATGGTAGCACATACCTTTAATCCCAGCACTTGGGAGCAGAAGCAAGTGGATGTCTGTGAGTTCGAGGCCAGCCTGGTCTATAGAGCCAGTTCCAGGACTGCCAGGGTTGTTATACAGAGAAACCCTGTCTCAAAAAACAAACAATAAAAACCAGATTCCCTAGATTAGTTTGAAAACTAGGGAGTTTGGGTCACAGATGAACCCATCTCTCACTCAGCTACCATGGGCTATAATGTAGGCATGTTTACTCTCCGTCTCAACCTCAGGACCAAAGTATCACACTTTTCTTAAAGCCTTCTTTGGTTAACCCAATCACTGCTGATTTCTCATCCATACATCCTCTTAGAATACATTTTAATTATCCAACTAGCTCTTCACACATTATCTGCTTTTGATTCTTTGCAAATGTCTTGTCTTACCTTCCTTTCAGCATCTTGGCTAGCCTAAGGCCTCAAGAGGCTATAAACACTATAGAATGATGCATTGTGTTGCCCTACAGGTAATTCCTAAATTCAAAGTGGTGATATGGAAAAACAAGCTGAAGACAATCTCTAGATTTAAGAGAAAAAAGCAAACCTGGACTGGAGAGATAGCTCAGCAGTTAGAACCTTTTGTTGCTCTTGCCGAGAAGCCAGGTGCAATTCTCAGCACCTACAAGGTGACTCAGCCATATGTAACTCCAGTGACCTCTTCTGATCTCTGTGTGCACCAAATATTCATGTGTTGCACATACATATATGCAGGCAAAACACCTAAACACATGAAATGATGAAATAAGAAAATCTAAAATAAATAAATAAATAAATAAGAAGCAAACCTATAGAGGATTTGAGAGAATAGGAAAATTAACTGCATAGATCTGTCTAGACTTTTTTAAAAAACATTGTAGTATTTGTCATGGTGGATTTTCCCCCCCTAAACACTTGACAGTATGTATCTGACATTGAATCGTCACCCCTAAATTCTTTAGCATTTCTTTTTAAAGAAAAGCGGTACTTTTCTATATGGCTACAACATTATTTTCACAACCAAGAAATTTGAGCTTCTTACAGTGTTCTTATTCAGTTTATATTTGAGTTTCCTGACTGTCTCGATTATAAATGCCCTTTTGTGCTCAGTGCTGAAGACTGAACATTCCTACATATTAGACAAGAGCTCTACCACAAAGCTGTGTCTCCAACTCCATAATGAGAACCTTGAACACTATTCTTAAATCCAGGTCCACAGCAATGTTCATATATTTGGTATGTTTAGCCTCTTGTGATCCAGAATAACTCCCTAATTTTGCAGTCTTTCATTATATTTTATATCAGCCTAGATTTGTATCAGTGTTCTATCATTGCTAGATTTGGGTTTGAACTTTTAAAATTAAGAAATGACAAAGATACTTTCATGTTTTGCCAGATTGATTGTGAAGTTTGTATTTGTGCATGCGTGTGCACAAATGTCCTTTACTAATGTCCTCAACATAGGTGTGTCATATTAATAATCATGGCTACCATCGTGTATCTAGTGCAGAACATTGTATTTGCTGAGAAGCAGATCTTTGGTGCTATAATTGATTTCATGCCCCACAATACTTATTATCTACTGTGTGTGTGTACGTGTTTGTACGCGTGTGTGTCAGATTTGGAGGGACAACAAGTTGTTTTGTGGCAACTGTCATTTGTGTTGACTGCTGAATGATTTGAATGTCTGTTTCATATGTTTAGTGGTCATTTGTGTTGTGTGCCATTTGAAGAGGCCTGTTTATGTCTTTTGACCACGTTTAGGGGGTCATAAATCTTTGTGCATTCTAAGTTATAACATTTTTTTCATTTTTTATTTCTTTCCAAAAGATTTATCTTTGTATTCAAATTATATGTATTTGTATTGTATGTATTGGTGGGGGAAGGCTGCATGAGTGTAAGTGCTCGTGAAGGCCGGAAGGGTTGGGTCACCTTGGAGCTGAAGTGGAGCTCAGGTCCTCTGTAGGAGCTATTTGTACTCCCATCCACTGAGTCATCCCTCCACATCGCATTTCTCTTTCCTCTTTGAAAATTGTATTTCTCATTTCTTATCTTATTTTATCTATTTATTTTGAGACAGGGTTTCACTATGTAACAGCCTTGGCTGTCATGGAACTAGTTCTGTAGACCCAGCTAGCCTCGAACTCATAGACATCTGCCTGCCTCTGCCTCTGCCTCTGCCTCCGCCTTCCAAGTGCTGGGATTAAAGGCATGTACCATCGTTGATTGCCCTGTTCCCTCTCTCATTCTTCACTCTCATGAAACTAACTCATCTATGAATGATGGTAGCCATGACTATTAATATGACACACCTATGTTGAGGACACACATGGCTACTCCAGGGAAATGTTTAGGGTCCAAATTCCAATACTGTCACTTACTGTGTGACATTAGATGAATGATTCTCTTTAGTTTCTTTGTCGGTATGATGGGGACAGTAGTGGTACATGCTTCAGAGGATAGTGGGGGGACTAGTAATAAGTTTTACTACAAGTGGTAAGTGTCATGTTACAGAGTTAAACATGGGTGGCCACTATTAGTTTCTTCCGTTTATAGCTCCCGTATCATTTCAAGATTCAGTGAGCTCATCAAAGTGCTTATCCTAGAAAGAGGTTCTTGCACCTTACCTACTACCTCAACCCTAACCTGCCTTCCTAGGACCATGTGTCAGTATATACATTAGTTATCTATTACCCCCTCCCATCCTTTCCCCCGAAAACTGGGCTTTTCATGTAGTGTTCAAAGGTGGTAAACTCATAGTACAGGAAGATGATTGACAAATGAACTTAAGGATGCTGAAATACGGAATGTGACAATGTAGAGGTAGAGGTGACAAAAGGAAAGAACGTTCGTTGGCCAAGTAGGCAGCTGATTGGCTGGTGTCCAGAACGCATCACCATAGAGCCTCAAATATAAGAAACAAAGTTAGTCGCTGTCCAGCCGGTGTAGTGACTTGGCACGTGAAAGCTAATGCTACCTAGATTGAGGGTCGTCGGGCAGAACGGGGAGTCCCCGAGCCCCGCCCCGCCCCGCCCCCCGGGGTCCCAGCCAGAGCCCAGGCAGAGGCAGAGGCGGCGCCTGCGCCCTGCCGCCCAAGAACCACTAGAGGTTCTCAACTCAGCTCCGAAGATGGCCGACCACGCTTTTGCGGGTACCAGTGGCAACACATCTTTGCGGGGTCTACGAGAACGCTTGGGTGAGTGGGCTGGGAACCTCCCAGGGGGTTAGGAGCCCTCATTGAGCACTGGGGTTACTGTAGTCCCGGGACCAGCAGAGTAGCGTGGCTGGGCAACTTTTTAGTGGGGAGTACGCTCGTCCTATCTGGTCTGTGTCCCCTCATCTCTGAACACCCCGAGTTGGGACAACAAAGATTGGAGGACCGGGGCGTGGAGGCGAAACGGTTGGTCAGTGCTGTCAGTGGCCCAATGGCCACTGCTGGGCGGATGCCATCGAATCCGGCTTGAGCCCCGCCTGCCATCAGGCACCAGTGACACCCGCGCAACTGCAGGAACACGCAAGGATGAGTGGGCGCTGGCGCGTGCTGGACATAGCTGCAGTTGGGGTGGCCCTGCCAAGATAAGGAAGTTTGGGGTTTCCCTGCATCCTAAGATGTTGGTACTTTCCAGGTCAAGGTCAAGGGAGAAGAGAACTGGGACTTAGGGCTTAGAAAGTTGGGAAGAGACTTGTTTCTCTGCAAAGTTGCCCTGCACTAGCACGTGACTTTGTCTCTAGGCTAAACGGAATGAGAATCTGCAATGTTTTCTCCTCAACAGGTCCTATAATCAAAACTTTTTCCGTCGGGGGGAAAAAAAACCTGGCGGGGTATGTTAATCTTACCAATTTTAGCAGTACCTGCTTAATTCAGGAAATTGTGTGAGGAGGTAGTATCTCTTGTTGACTGCTTTTGGCTTGCTAACAGTCTAGTTCCCCAAGATATGCCTGTGAATAAGACGATTTTGATTGCTATTGAAAGCCTAAGGGAATTTTAAATTGTAATTAAAAGGTTAATTCAGGTTGGCTGAGATTCAAAGACCATATATTACTGAAGAACACTTTGAATCAAGTCTCCAAAAAGTGTCGGAAGCAAGTACACTTTTGCCATTCCATAGGAGTCAAATAATATTCCTTGAGCCTCTAGCTTATTTTAAACTCTAGAGAGTTTGCAATCAGCTGCTATATTGTTTATTGACTTTTATAACTCTCTGGTATTAGTTTAAAATAATTGAAATTAGCTAGCATGTATTCCAATATCTTGAAGGAACTGGGGTCTGATAACCCCTAACATTATTTATTAAATGTTGGAAAATAGTTAAAGTTATGGGGCAGTTGTTTACATTTACAGGACCTCAAACTCTAAAGAAAACTTTAAGCTATGCTAAAAGGGGGGGGGGGGGGAGAGATTTAATCCTGATCCGTTGTTTACATCCTAGCTGCCTCTTGTACATTCCGTTGAAAACACCACATGTTGAATTTGCACAGCTCACCAGCTTAACTGCCCTGCTGGTTGCAGTATTTTCTGTAGGAGTTAATTTCATCTCCTGCTGGAATCCTGACTGCATGAATTAAAAAGGTGTCCTGAATAAATAATCTCTGTGGGTGCACAGTACAATTTACATGCATGTATTTTACAAATGTGTGTGTGTATTAACACACATTAGATGAATATATATGAACTTAATGGGTTTTCTACACATCGTAGTATGCTTATGCTATATACTGAAGAACTATATTATTTTAACAACCCAATTCCTATTTTCTACACAATTGTTTTAAATTAAAACTGTTCAGCCAGATGAGCAAGAAAAACTTGTAACTAACTTGTCACTTTTCTCTTCTTGTTTTTTTTAAATTCACACTTGGGTTCTCAGTTGAGTATGGCTTACTCACAGACTGGGTCCCATAAATGCAGGCAAAGCTATGGAGGCTGCGAGCCAGATTAGCAGCATTTTAGAGCTGCAGAATCCTTCAAGTTAGTCTAGCAGTCGGAATCCCAGACTCAGAAACCCTGAGCAGCTCCCACAGCTTGGCTGTGTGCTGTACTGGACAACCCAATATTTGTGTTACTATTTAGAATGGTACAGTCGGCTTGGAAATGTGCTCGTAGCCAGTGTGGCTGCTGGGCAGGAAGATTGCAGCAGTTTCTCACCAGCCTTAATCTGTGTGCTTTGATTTGCCAGTTGTTCTCCTGGAATCAATTGCTGCAGACCAAAGAAAGTTTTTAAAATGTTTTCTTTTTTAGAGAACAGTTGAAAAGAATTTGTGTTAGTATGCTGTTCAGAAATAACGTGGCGGCAAAATGGCAGTAGTTTTAATTATGAGTAAGGCGAGAAGAATCTAATCTTTAAATTTAACTACGTCATAGTTTATCCGAACTGTTAGGTTCCCAGGGCTTACAAACAAATCCTTTCTCTTTTTTGAAATGATGATCCCTATGGTAGCAATCGCAGGGTCACTTTCAAGGTTACCCCCTAAAATGAATCCCAGGTAACTTTTCCCCAATGCAGCCAACATCACGGAACCCATTCATTCTGTGAGAGCTAAGGCAATCCCGTTAGCACCTTAATTATTTGAGCTGTCTGTTTTGAACTGTGATAAATCTCTTAAGAGTTAAGAATCAGACCTGTGAGGTGTGACCTGGAGCATATTTCCTGTGCTTTTGCACAAAGGTAAAAACACTTAACCAGGCAGTGGTGGTATATGCCTTGAATTCCAGAATGTGAGAGGGAGAGGCAGGCAGAGATCTACAGAGCAAGTTCCATGGCAACCAAGGTTACACAGAGAAGCCCTTCCTTGAAGAAAAAAAAAAACAAGCAAAAAAACAAAAAGCAAAACAAACAAAAACAGTTTTTATTGTTCTCCAGGCTGTTGTCCAGGATTGTGGGGAATTTTAGACGCAGCCATCCTTTCAAGGTTCAGGAATTCTCTAGAATCCATCTTAATGCATATTATCTCTGCCCCTCAATTTAATATTACCTTATTGATGTTTACTTACCGCTTTTCTGCCTGTTGACATAAGGCTATATATTTGGTGCAGTTTATGTATTTGCCTTACGCGTTTTAAAACTAAACATTGGCTGTCCTTGCATCTTCATAATGCATTAGAATAGAGCCTTGGGGGTGCTGAGGGTATGGGGGTGTGGCTTCATGGGGGAAGGGTACATTGCTTAGCATATTAGAGCCCCTGAGTTCAATCCCAGTTACCACAGAGAAAAGAAAAAGAAAATGAGCTACTTTTTAAACAGTTCCAGGTGCTGGAGCGCCACTTCCATAGGGGAGGTTCAGGCTGTTTTGAAAGCCACTTAGGCAACTAGTATATCAACAGCCTAGAAAGTAGCTGATTTGGTCATTTATAAATGTTTTATGGTATTTGGCTCAATCTCTGGGTATCTACTTGTTAGTACATTGCTTCTAGATTTGTGTCTATAAATAATGTTTAGAAGATTTTGATTTTATCTATGTGAATGTTTTGCTTGGTGTATGTAAATACATCTCTGGCATGCAGTGCCTATGAAGGCCAGGAGAAGGCATCAGGGCCCCTGGAAATGTGAATTTAAGACAGATGTCAGATGCCTTGGGTATGTGCTGAAGACTGAGCCTGAGTCCTCTGCAAGAGCACCAGGGGCTCAAATCCACCAAGTCACCTCTCCAGCCCAAATTCTTCATTTCTTCTCTTGACAAATGGTTGAGGGCTGCTGTCCTTGTATTAACTGTTAACATATAAGGCCTTTTCCCTATCTTCCTGTCTTTTAGTTGCCGTCGCTCAAGAACTAGCCGAAGAACGGCGACGTAAACGTGGTATTAATTCTTCTGCAGTTACTTCTAAGAGATCGTCGTGTACACCTGGTATTCTTTCAATGTTTTGATATATCAGTGCTGTAGCTTTAAAAACCGGGTGGTGGTGCAAGCCTTTTATCCCAGCACTTGGGAGACAGAGGCAGGCAGATCTCTGTGTTTGAGGCCAACCTGATCTCAGAGTGAGTTCCAGGACAGCCAAGACTACACAGAGAAATCCTGTCTTAGAAAACATAAATATTTAATAGAATTAGTATCATACTAATGGTTACTTTTTTGGTAGTTTTAGATGGTTCCGTCCTTAAAAATGATATCAAACAACAATTAGCCAAAGAACGCAGAGAAGAGAGAAAACGCCAGCAAGAAGGTAAGCATGCTGGATATTTTCCTTTATGTATAGCTTATATATTTCTGAATTGGTTTTTTACTCACTTTGCTTAATCTGTATGTAAGCTAAATTGTAATTTTATTATGTAAAATATTAAATTACCTCCATTTACTGACCCACACCAAGAAGACCCATGAGGTACCTGTGACCAAATCATTTAATTTTTGAAGGAGTAGGAGGAAAACTGAGGCATGGAACTTTCTTCAACAGTTGTAGAAGCAAGCAGGATAGGATTTCAGTGGAAACGGGACTTAGTATAAATTAAGACTTTCTACAACTTGGGAGCATGCTTTCCAGCTATATGTATTTCTTCTTTGATTTAAATCAATTGACAAAATAAATGCTCAGATTTATGTAAGTGGGATGCTATAGGTGATCTTTATTGTAATGGCAGAGATAGACAGTAATGTTAGAGAGAATGTTTTTAAAGCTTTATTTATTATGGATACAGTGTTCTGCCTGCATATCTGCCTGCATGCCAGAAGAGGGCACCAAATCCTACTATAGCTGGTTGTGAGCCACCATGTGGTTGCTGGGAATTGAACCCATGACCTTTGGAAGGGCAGCCAGTACTCTCAACCTCTGAGTCATCTCTCCAGCCCCTTGGGAGAATATTTTATAATTGCACAGACATGGATCCTCTGCTTGCAGTTGGAGAAGACCTGAGTATAGTAAAGCATGCCCTTCCATACTGGGTCGACTTCTAAGTCTAGTCATGTAACATCTTCATATCTAATAGCATCTGGAGAGTTGAAGACTTCGAAAGAGGTTTCAGAGTAGATTGAAGCAAAATATAGATTCAGCCCATGTGTCCTTTAACTTGTATTTTAAAACACAGCTTGTTTCTCTGATGCAGTTTGTTTTTAGCTCAAACTAGCAAACTAACCGCATAGAAGAAAATATTTCTTCCTACTTTGGAAGTTTAGTTTGCATAGGCCAAGAGTCATCTGGCTTAGAAATGCCAGCTCTTCACAGTTCAGTGACCACCTTGTAAAAAGTGGTTCTTTAGTGGCCACATGTGTTTACACACATGAATTGTACATGTTCTTTACTAGACCCGGTTATGTTGTCTTAAGAATGATAATGAGACAGATTAGCATTTTTTTTCCTTCTTTGCATTTAATGTGGAAAACTTTTCTTGGCTTTAACCCCATGAAAATGTACTTGTACTATTTCAGCCAACAAGGAAAAACAACTGCTTGAGAAACAACAAAAGGCTAAGCTACAGTATGAAAAGCAATTGGAAGAAAGACACCGCAAACTGAAAGAACAAAAGGAAAAGGACGAGCGACGCCGAGTATCTGCAGAAGAAAAAAGAAAACAGAAACAGGCGGAAGACAAAGTATGCAACTTCCCAGTCTGTCCATTTAGTGCTGGCATCGTGTGCATCTGAAATAGTGTTTAGCCCTTTTCTGTATTTACTGGCCTTGTAGAAAGGAAGGGAGCAACCTCATCTTTTCCTATTTGTTTTCCATTTTCCTTACCCTCAGTCCAAGCGCTTAAACATTAATTTCAAAGAGGAAAGAGGAGGCATGAAGGTCCAGAAACCGAATTCTGTTGGCCTTTAGAGTGCACTTCACAGCGTACCCTGGTTTGGGGTTAGCTCAAAACTACTCTCTACCACCTGCATAAGGACCCCAAACCTACCTCCCCACCTCTCTGACAGGTCCCATCTGGCGAGCTGATTTCTTCCAACTTACCCAGTCTTGTGACTTCCCAAGAGAAAATGAATCATTAGAGACAATTTTGAGAATCAACAAACAAAATAGGAAATAATACAGATTGTGTGTGTGTGTGTGGGGGGGGGTCCTTGGTGGACAGAGACAGTCCAAGACAGTGCCTTCTTAGTAAAAGAGGAAGTTGAGAGAGAAAAAACACAGACTGGAACAGAAGCAAATGTCAGGATAGACAGAAAGGGAACCAGAAACACGGCAGGAAAAAAGACGGCAAAAGGGCATCAACTCCAAAGAGCTAGTGGGTGTGAGCCCCAGCCCCAGCCTGGCACATGGACATTGTAAAGTGGGCTAACACGTTTCTCTTTGGCCTAAGAACAGGATAGGCACTGTAGAGAAGCTCTTGTTGTGTGACAGTTGCTGCTAGGGAATAAAAGAAAAACCTCTCTGGGCCTGACGTTAATTTGCTCGCTGGAACATAGTCGGGATATTATAGTACAGGAATGAGAAATCCCCGAGCAAAGAACTCATTTCTAAACTCGTACTTATTCTGCCACATTGAGGCATGTGATTTGTGTGACTGTTATCCTGGCCAGTTCAGGCTGCAGCTGAAGTCAAGATAAATACACTGCTTGCCTTAAAAAAAATTCTTACTTAGCACCAGGATTTAAGCTCTTATAGATATGAACATAATAGACAAGAAAAAACTTTGGCATAGATTTAACATAGGCATGTCACCTTTTCCTATTTCTTTCCACAGAAACATAAGGTAATTACAAAATAGACTATAGCATGTGGCTAAAATAAATGACTAAGGGATCACGCAGAAGTGAAAATGGAGGTGGGCAAACATGGTGATGCATAAGTAAGATTAGCATGCATCAAAGTACACCACTCAGTCTCTGTCCATTTGCTGCAGAAGTTTCGCTCTAAGTTTCCTAATGATAGAAGTGAAAAGGGAAGCATGGTCAATTTCTTCTCCCTCCCCAACATGGTCAATTTCTTGATGTAGTATCCACAAAATAAAATACGAGTAATTCAGGGGCAGTACTGGTATTCACTGATGAAATTAAAAAAATGTCTCCCAATTCTTTTAAACTTTTACCTACTTGATAAAGAAATGCAGCGATGGGATTTGTTTTAGAAACAAATAAAATTGTGGTAATATAATAACCATATAAAATGGCTTGGCATTTCTTTTAAACAGGAAAAATTTAAGGCTGTCGTGTCTCGTACAATGGAGAGATGCAATCGTGCTGATCAGCGACAGAAAAGGTGGTCGTGGGAGGGCGGTGCGATCAACACTGACAAGTCTGGTAAATAACAGCTGTAATCTGGGTAGGGGCGGGGTTTCAAGACAGGGTCTCTCTATGTAGTCCTGGCTGTCCTAGGGCTTGCTCTGTAGATCTGGTGGCCTCAAACTCAAGAGATCTGCCTGTATCTGCCTCCCAAGTGCTAAGATTATAGACATGTGCCACCACCACCTGGCAATAGTTACTAAATTTAAGTTCATTGATATCCATTTTAACTGTCAGTTATTGTTAGAAGGCTGTAATCTGCAATAGGATCATACTCCCTATGTCCTATCACCTGACAAAGCAGAAGAGATCTGCTTTTAACTCAGAATACGCTAAACTTTATTTAAATTTGCAATCGGCACAAAAGTGATGAATACAAAGTTTAGCCAATGCTCGTTTTTTGTTATTTTTTTTTAATAAACTAAGTCCAAGGCTGGAGAAATAGGTCAGTCAGTAAAGCCACTTGCCTTGCGAGTTATAAGATCCGAGTTCGCTCCCCAACCCACTTAAGAATAATCCAGGTGGGAAAAAAAAGAATAATCCAGGTGTGGTAGGTATACATGCATATTTCCAGCACTGGAAAGGCAGGGGTTGATTCAGAATAGCTGTTGACATTACTTTCTTATTATTTCTTGAAGGATGTCAAAGAGAAAACTACATGACTTAGTCACATGACTTACAACTCTTGGGCTATGTTCATCACATTGTCAATGCAAGGAATTTTCACATGGCACAATAGTGCTACTTTAACAACAACAATGTATACTTTATGTTACAAGTCTTAAAGAAAAGGAATTCTTGTTTAACTATTCCTTAGTATCCTGAGCTAGAATATTTCAGATAAAATGGGAAGTATTTACACAAAGCCAATTGTTTTCTCTTATTGTTTTGTTGCCTTGTGACATCTATAGCAAATATAAATGGATTTTGCTGTAAAAATAGTTATAATTAAATGATCCATTCATTATTCTTAGACATCATGGATTGTGTTTAAAATTAAAGATTAAATATTCACAATTTAAGAAGATTGGTGGTGTCAATATTAGACATTTTTCCTATCAATTTTTTATTGGTGTTTTTTTGTTTGTTTGTTTGTTTTTTGAGAGAGGGTTTCTCTGTGTAATAGCCTTGCTTGTCCAGGAACTCACTCTGTAGACCAGGCTGGCCTCCAACTCACAGAGATCCACCTGCCTCTGCCTCCTAAGTGCTAGGATTAAATGTGTGCGCCACCACGCCTGGCTAATGGTTTTCATCATTTTCTAAATAACTTATTTTCACCTCAAATAAGATAATGAGTAAATTTTTAAGTTTGGGGTTGTAAACTACATACTACTTGAAATTAAATAAATTCTTGAAAGTAAGAGTTGAAAGAACTTTAAACCGGTTAATAAGATGAGCGAGCCCCCTCTGAAAAAATAAAAAGGAAAGTAAGATTCCTTTGTACTTGATGTTTAGGAAAAATGGAAAGTAAACGAAGCTCTTCTCTGAATAGAAAAGACATACACCCCAGTGTTGATGTGGAGCACGTGGACAGCACGCCTGGTGAGTAGTTAGTGCCAAGGATAGATCTTAAGTACTGGTTTAAAGAAATGTGTTGAGCTTAGTTTTATGTTGCTTAAAAAGCTGTTCAAGAAAACATCCATAAGAGTATCATTATACAAACTGAGCAGATTATATTTAGGAATATATGTGTATGTGCATGTTCCAACAATTAATGAAAAGAGAGATTATGGATCTGAAAGACAAGGAGCGGAGGGGGTATGGGGGAGGGTTTGGAGGGAGGAAAGGGACGGAGGGAATATAAGTATCCTATAGTCTCAAAATAAAAGAAAATTTTAAAAAGTCATTAAAGAAAGTGCAAGCCAAACGACCTCTTCTTGGTCTAAAAGAATGTGCTATGGTAAGAAAAAAAGAATCTTATCTTCCCATAGGTACATAATTCCTGGCCTATGACAGTCTAGAGTAAGCTGAGGAAATAAATTAATGTTAGTATAGATTTGTACTGAAAGACTACTTTTTGATTCATTTCAAATGTCATGAATTTTCATTTGGAAATTATAAAGATTGACACCAATTTAAACAAAACTTTACTCTGCTGCCTTTTTGGTTCTTACTACTGATTTTTACACAAAACTCATAATTACTATTGAAATATTCCTTTAAAGTAAGTTTTATTTTTATATTTACTTGTTGATTGATTGTATATATGAACATATACATGTGCACACAGGTCACAACGTGTGTGTGAAGGTCAGAGGACAATTTGTGGCACTTTAACATGTGGGGGTTCTAGAAACTGAACTCAAGTCCTTCGGCTTAGTGGCAAGTGTCTTTACCCACTAAGCCATCTCAAAGCCCCCTCCCACTCCCGGCTACTTCTTATTTTATAGATCTCACACTGCAGTCCTGGCATAGTCCAGGATGGCCTTGACTTTATAACAACCCTCCTGTCTCGGCCTCTTGAGAACTGACATACTGGCATCAGCTATCATGCCTAGCTTTAAAGTGATTTCTCTTTTTTTTCTTTTTATTTTTTTTTTTAATTTTTGAGACAGGGTGGGTTTCTCTGTATAGCCCTGGCTGTCCTGGAACTTACTCTGTAGACCAGGCTGGCCTCAAACTCAGATCCACCTGCCTCTGCCTCTGCCTCCCGAGTGCACCACCACCACCTGGCTTTAAAGTGATTTCTCTCTGACAGCTTTTCTCCCTCTACCGTCTCCCTTTCCTCTTCCTCTTGCTTTTGCTTCATCCTGCCCTAGTTTGCTTCTCTGTTACCTTGATAAAACACCAGCGGACAGCATCTTAGGGAAGACAGGGTTGTTTGCAGCCCATCACTGGAGGAAGCTGAGGCAGGAAGTCAGGCACGAGCTGGGAGCAGAAACCACAAAGGAACACTGTTACTGGTGCATTTCCTGCTCGCTTTCTCAGATATGCTTCTTAAGGAAATCAGACCCTGCATCAATCAGCAATCAAGAAAATGCCCCACAGGCATGCCCACAGGCATATGCTGGCGGCAACTACTCAACTGGCGTCCATCTTCCCAAGTGTCTCCAGTTCGTGTCAAGTGGACAGTAGAAACTAAGCAGTATACATAATGATCCATTCTACTACAGGAGGCTTCCCTTAATTGATTTGGGTGAAATTCAATGCAATTTGTGTTAGGGGTCTTTGTAAAGATTTAAACAAAATATTGACCCAAAAAACCACTTTTGACAAGACCATTTTGTTCAGTCCCAGGACCTGGGTTAGATTCTCAGCACCCACGTGGCAGCTCACCACTGTCTGCAAATCCAGTTCTAGAGGATCCAATTTCCTCTGAGGGTGTAACATGAGGGGGCCTGCTTGTTGGGGTTTCTGTCCCACCCTGTACTCCACAGCCGGCAAACCCCAAAGAAAATCACACAGAGAATCTGTATTACTTGTAAACTGATTGGCCCATTAGCTCAGGCTACTTATTAACTCTTGTAGCATATATTAACCCATTGTTCTTATCTATGCTAGCCACACGGCTCAGTACCTCAGCTAGGCAGGTTATATCTTGCTTCTAGGTGGTCTGGGCAGGAGTCTGGAGGCATGGGCTTCCTCCTTCCCAGTATTCTCCTGTTCTCATCACCCCACCTCTACTTCCTGTCTGGTTGACCCACCTATACTTCCTGCCCGGCCAATCAGCATTTATTTAAAACATGATTGACAGAATACAGACAATTCTCCCGCACCATGAGGGCACCAGGCATGCAAGTAAACACTCAGGCACATACAATAAAAATAAGTCTTTTAAAAATGTGGTTGAGATTTTGAAATACGGTGTAATTCAAATAGAAATCTTTTGCTACAAGTATGCACTTTACAGGGACAGCTGATTTGCATTTGTAGTGAACCAATGTGGTTACAGGAACTCTGTTGCTGACATTGCTTCTGTAATACTAAATTTCTGATGGTTCTACTTTCAATGATATATCTCACTGAACAGTTCCTATACTGTGTAAAATGCCTATAATTTCCTATTAAATAGCACTTCTCTATTGTCATACTGTGAACACAGAGTGTTTTTATCTAGTCAAATTACTACCTTTATGTGAACTTTTACTCTGTCCTCATTCACTTATAGGCATGACCAAATATGTTTTCCGCTATGTGACTGCACCAGTGTTTACTAGTGATGGGCTGAAGTCTTCTGCAATACTCTGTAAGTCATCAGTAAAAACGCCACTTCCGGCCAAATTAGAAATAACAACCACAAAGAAAATTGAAACATCTCTCAAGGAAAACATGGAAAGACCAGCAAAGGAGAATGCAGAAATGCCACCTAGGATGAACATGAAAGAACCCACACAGGCAAACATGGACAGACCATCTAAGGCTGATGTGGAAATGGCACTCCGAAACATAGAGGACTTCTCTGCTGCTAAGGTGGACATTTCCCCCAAGGTACTCGCTTGTGGGAGCTCAATGAGTCACCCTGAATCAAATGCGAAAGAATTCCCCCAAATGAATGTGGATGCCTCTTCAAGTGTTGAACCATCCCCCATTGTGAGCGAGGATTCATCCCCCATTCTGAGTACCAGATCATCCTCCTTTCTGAGTGTGGAAATATCGCCTGTTGTGAGCATGGATACCTCACCAGAATTAAGTACGGGCTCGGCAAGTGCTGTGCCCTCGGAAACACACATAGAAACATCTCAGACTTCTCTTAAGACCAGCAGGGAATTAAACCTTGAGGCCAGTATGGAAGCACAGCCTGAGACAAGTGTTGAAGGACCACCCCAGGTGAGTGTGTGAGCACAGCCTAGACAAGGTGAGTGTGAGCACAGCCTAGACAAG